ATCAGTCAAATTTTAGCCGATTCCGACACCGTCGCGAAATATGACGAAATTGCCCCCGGCGCGATTTTTGTTTCCGATCAATCAGTCAAAGTTTAGCCAATTCCGACATCGTTGCGAAAAATGACGAAATTGCCCCCGGCGCGTTTTTTTTTTTTTTTAAATCAATTCATTTCATACTTTTCACCAATTAAGTCCAGGATGGCCCAGCTGCGAGGCGTATGTTACATGATGCAATTTTGGTGATAATGGAATGTGAGATGACCTTTTTTGCCTGCAGGAAAGAGATAACATGCAGAAATCAGAGTTTCTAAAAGCATTATCAGACATGCGGAAGGATTTTGACTCCCGTGTATTGCGGTATAAGGTTCGAGATGTTGCATCCTATTTATATGATCCTGCTTTACGGTATTGCTGATCATCTTCATAAGTATAGTGTCTAGAACTAATTGTCATCTTGTTTATTTGGAATCTAGAATAGTAGCAGTAAGATGATAAGTGAGTACAGTTATTGAAACTTATATTCTCTGATATGACTATTTTCGTTTACTTCCTTTACATTTTGAACAACCTAGATATGGAATCAAGTTAGGGATTTAATACAATTATTCAATGTAATTGTCTTCCTTATCCTAACTCTAATGCTCTTGAGCCCATCTCCCAACACCCCTCGGAAGAATGATGTCTCGAGATTATATGTTCATCCATTTCCCTAATTTCTGGTTTTGATGGCTTTGATGATGCAATCGCTGTATTTTTGACGTGTGATAATAAGTCTAGTCCTTGGCCTCTTATGAAGGTTTGGCAAATTGAACTCCGATTTGCTGACTAATGCAGGTTCTTCCCCTTATCCTAACTCTAATGCTCTTGAGCCCATCTCCCAACACCCCTCGGAAGAATGATGTCTCGAGATTATATGTTCATCCATTTCCCTAATTTCTGGTTTTGATGGCTTTGATGATGCAATCGCTGTATTTTTGACGTGTGATAATAAGTCTAGTCCTTGGCCTCTTATGAAGGTTTGGCAAATTGAACTCCGATTTGCTGACTAATGCAGGTTCTTCCCCCTCTGTGTGCAGAGCTTCGAAATTTGGTAATGCAGCCAGTGATTCTACCTATGGTTCTGACCATAGCAGAGTCTCAGGTAATTTGATTAGTTATCTTTGAACTGTAAAAGTTCCTTTGGTATGTTAAGAAATTACACGTCGTCAATTAAAATTACAGTTTACCCACTTTTGGAAACTTGGAGTTGATCTAACTATTTTTGTGTCTGCGCACGTGCATTTCTTGTGTAATGCATGACCTGATAGCTGATACCAAGAACTTCTATATGTAGACATAATTGTTAAAATGTTCAGAGTTTGTTGGAGATACTGGGGCTAAGTTTGTAATTCCTAATACATTTGACCATTAGTTTAGAAAATGCAAAAATGTCAAAGTTACTGCTTTTGTGATGTAACTTTAAAGGTAGAGAAGAGTTTTCTGGTCATACACCTGAATCACTTGCAAATATTATTTCTTACGCTGTGAAACATGGTAAATTTTCAACATGTTTTTAGTGAGTAAAACCCTTCTGTGGGAAAGTAATCTCTTCAATATATTTTTAGTGAACAAGTTAATTTCTAATCTTTGCATTTGAAATGTTGCATTTATTGAGACAAATTGCTTATAAGACCTATGTGTATATTATTTTCAATGAGCTTATATTCGTTTTTTGATTTCATATATATTTCTGTACTATTGCTTTCTAGTACGTATGTTTGAAGTTGAAGGTTATAATATTTCTCCAAGCCTTTTCTTTAATTTCATTGTTCCTGGTTGTATTGCCCGGTGCATAATTTCTTATGCTTATGGAAGTGTGGTCAGGGGAAGGTAATGTACATCCATAAAATACCATTTGACAGTATTATATGATGAATAAGATAATGATGCAGCCGCATCACTGTGCTAGTTTAATCAGTAGCCATCTCTCTCGACTTTTACAACACTAATATATTTAGGAGGTTGTGGTGGTATTTCTGTAAAATAATTACAGGATAAAAACGATTTTGAGGTATCAACCTTACCATCTCTTGTTCCAGTCCTGGACAAGGCCGCTGGTGAGACATTACTGCTACTTGTGAAGCATGCTGAGCTTATTATCAACAAGGTAACTAAAGTTACTGTGTTAGCTTGCCATTGATGTGTGTTATAACTGTTATACACTTGATTTTTCCTATTTGAGAAATACATTTACTGAAATAAATATTTTAATTTTCTCAGCCAGTTGGAACGTTCTAATATTGATTTTTTACGATTCACGTCTTCCTATATTGCCCCGCTCTTTCCAACTTTTGGGATCTTCGTAATAATGTTATTGTCTGAATAGTTATCATTCCTGTTACTATTAACGAAAATGTTTCAAACTTCAGTTCAAGTGTTTACGTATTTGTAGTAGTGGGGGCGTTATTAAAGAAATCAGATATATTGACTACAAGAGATTCCTAGCTTTATAGTCAATTAAAATAGGAAAATCTACTTTTAATAATACAGCTATGACAGAAATTCTCTAGCTAATATACAAAAACCTAGTCTTCTGATCAGCGCAAAAATCAGCAAGGAATATTCTACAGATTTGATTAGCAGAAAATCAGTAAGGAATCTTTTACATCTTTCTACAATTATAAACCATGAGGCGACTCTGCTTTTCGTTGTTTGGACTTGAGTATCAAAGAGGCCAAGAGACAATTTTGGTGCTGTGTGCAATACCTTGGAAGAGTGCTTTGTTCTACTGTGATTTGGAGCCTATATTTATACTTTCCAGAAAAGTTCAATTGGGGGCTGATGGTTTATGGCAATGGGGATTGATAGAAATGTAAAGTCTGCACAAAAGTATGAGTTGCTGAATCGAAGGACAGAAAAAATTACAACTGAAAAATTCCCTTTAATTTCGAATAAGCTTGAATCATGGGTCATTTTTTGCAATCCCAGAGAAGCCCGTTGAAAGAAAATCTTCATGACTGCGTGAGATCATTTTAAGCCCTTGTTTGATACCCATTATAAAGAGAAATTTTGGTAAAATGTATTATGGAATATTATTTTTTGGGAAAATGTGTGGTTAAAAATTAAAGAAACTTTATTGGTTTGTGTGTAGAATATTTTATTATTTAAATGTGTGGTGGAGAACGATATTATAGCAAATAATTTAAAATTTTAAAGGGTGCCAAACAGGAGCTAATTTTTGTTTACTTCTCTCTTTTCTTTTACTTTTTATGATGAGATTTCATCGCTCATGTGAATGAGAATTTATTCGAGTCTAAATGGGACATGACCCTAACCACTTAGACAGTCCTTTGCATAATTTATCGTCAACTAGTTCTACCTCCAATCTCCGTTATTAGTGTATATCTGTTTTTCATGGTTTTTCGATTCCACTATGACCACACGTCTATCTTAACATCATCACTTTTCTACATTTTTGTCCTTTAGAAGCCTAAAACTCTGGAGTATAAAGCAAAGGTGGTGTAATAACTTCCATGCGTTACTTATATTTTAACTTGATGGGTATCCTTTCAACTAGATTTATTTTATTGTTAATGTTTTATCCTTGTGACTTGTATTTCTAGCTTCATTTGTTTTTCTCTTGCGGCAGGCTAGTCAGGAGCACCTGGTTTCCCATGTCCTGCCCATGCTCGCTCGAGCTTATGATGAAACTGATGCACGCTTGCAAGAGGAAGTTCTTAGAAAGACTCTTTCGCTTGCAAAGAAACTTGATGTTCAGGTGACTCGAGTTGCTTCTTATTGGTGGTTCTTAAATATGTGGACTGGTGAGACAGATCATATTATGTTCTTTACCTCTAGTTGACTATTAGGTTCATTCTTCAATTTTTGAGTACGTTGCAAAACTCAATTTTTTAAAATTGTTAACTAACAATAAACTTACGAGGCATAAGGCTTTCACAAAATGACACATATGATATTATATCATTATAACAATACATGCCAAATCATTTATGTATTTAACTGCAAGTATACGATTGCATTGTTCCACGGGTTGCTGTCCCTCTTAAGTTTTCAGCTAAGTTTTTTCTGTTGAATTTTCCCATCAGCAATCGTCACGTACAGATTCATTTTTGGTCTTAATAATATTGGTCTAGTGTGCTGTTTATTATTTTTGGTATATTATAAAATCTCACCTTTTTCTGTGTTAACCTTTCCTGCAGTTAGTGAAACAAGCAATTTTGCCCCGTGTTCATGGCCTGGCGCTTAAAACAACTGTTGCTGCGGTATGTTGTCCGTGCTTCATATATCTTTATTTTGACTGCCCACCCCCATGCTACAGTTTCTTGAAATAGGCAAGAGTAACTTTAGGAAGTTACATGTTATTAGTACTAAAGTTATGTTCATTTTTATGCGAAGCAGCCATATTAAGTCAATCAACTTCTACCATTTTTACTTTTTATTTATTTCCTTTTCGTTGAAGTGGGCACTCCTTGGAGTGAATCGGTTAGTCTAAACTCTAGAAGTCAAGGTTTGCTTCTGTTGTCAGGTGAGAGTGAATGCTCTATTATGTCTAGGTGATATGGTTCACATGCTGGATAAGCACGGTGTTTCAGATATCTTGCAAACGATCCAACGATGTACTGCTGTTGATCATTCTGCTCCAACTCTAATGTGTACCCTTGGAGTAGCAACCTCAATTTTGAAGCAGGTATAAAACGTTTTAAGGCAACTTCGTTGAATGTATGAACATTTATTTTAATATTCTCACCCACCTATTTTTTGTTTTAACCCTCTCTCTGCAGTTTGGAACTGAATTTGTAGCAGAGCATGTTCTTCCAATACTGATACCACTGCTAATTACTCAGCAATTAAATGTTCAGCAGTTCGCTAAGTACATGTTTTTTGTCAAGGATGTGCTGAGGTAACATTAAAAGCTATCTTTCCTTCTCTACATAGATTTGGATCCTAATTCCATATATTATTGGTGATTGACTTGTAATGTAAGAGGCTCAATGTGTATGTGCATTTATGCTGTGCTGAGTTATGTTTTTGTGTCCTTTGCAGAAAGATAGAAGAAAAGCGAGGAGTAACTTTGACGGACTCTGGAATTTCAGAGACACCACCACCTACAGGGGATGGGCCTCTTCCTGGACTAGTTAATAAACCACTTGCTACCTCATCTAGTACGAAACACAGCCCATCATGGGATGAAGATTGGATACCTTCCAGGGGAGCTTCAACCGCTCCCTTGTCTTCCTCTACAATTTCAAATGCTCAACCAGTCGTTCCAAGCCAGCAAGCTCAAACATCTGGATATTCTCAGTCGTCTTTGACATTGACTTCAGCTTCTCAACAACTGCCATCTTCATGTCCTGCAGTTGATATTGAGTGGCCACATCGATGTTCATCAGGCATTACGACTCAATTAGGCGACCCTGGGAAGCTCAATGAAAATAAAGGTTATTCAGATGCAGGTTTTGATGATATAGATCCTTTTGCCAACTGGCCACCTCGACCTGGCACGACAACCCTTTCTGGATCTTCAATCAATGGAATGGCAGCACCATTTGCCAACAAATATTCTTCAAGCAATAATGCAACCTCGACTGATAGTTTGAGTTCGTGGGCATTTGGCACTCAAAATTCTGTTGAGCCAATGAGACAGATTCATGGTAGTAGTACCTCATCCACTATCAGTGGACTCAGTGTGCAGAGTTCTTTCGGGTATCTGAACCAAAATCATGGTGCTTCAACTCTTGGTTTGTCCGCCCAGAAAGCAGCGGATCTTGGCTCAATCTTTGCTTCTAACAAGAGTGAGCAAGCTGCACTAAGACTCGCTCCACCTCCAACAACTGCTGTTGGTAGAGGGAGAGGACGGGGAAGGGGAATTCAAGGACAACTTGGGAGCACCTCAGCATCACGGCCTAGTCAGGGGAAATCTCTGCCTGAGCAGCCGCCTGTACTGGACTTGCTGTAGTTTATGTGGTGACAACGTAAACGGTTTCCAGATTTAAGTGCTAAGGTAAAATACAGATCAACAGTTGTGTAGTTCACTCGACTCTACTTCGTCCATTGCAATTGTTCGAGGTGAACAAGAGAAACATAACACGTCGATACATTTAGGCTCCATTTGATTCTCATTTTTATCAAAATTCATTTTTCTCTCTTTGTTTTAACAACACATTCTTCATTAAAATAATGTTACACGGAAACCAAAAACTTTTCCTTATTTTTCATCCCCACATTCTCCATCAATCTACTATTTTTAAAAATTCATTTTTCCATAAAAATGGGTGTCAAACACCCTCTTAGTGCCTAATTCAAGTTGTTCGCAGGTTGTAGCATAATAGTTTGTGATTCTACTCGTCACAGAGTGCGGCTGCTTGTACTCTTTCTGGACAAATTTTTGTTTTCTTTTTCCTTAATGATCGTATTTAATTTATAAATAGTTTGTCAAGGAAGTTCATTGTATTCTTCATCCATTGGTTCAGGAAAAGGTAATACAATTGATGCTTTTGAAATTTCTCTCATATTGAATATTTGTGTAAAGAAGATGTTGATTCTTGACTTGGTTGTTAAACTCATCAGTTAAGTGAGTTGCAATCAGTTGGATCCTCAAAAATTGTAACAGAATTGCTGTTATTAGTTGTAACAGAATCATATATACATTGCTTGTAAATCTCTTTGGTCCTGTGTCCATTAATAGGACTAGGAGTTGATGAGTTGATGTGAGGGGGATCATATACTGTATAAGAGAAAGTAAGATAGTGAGAGAGAGTTCTGTACACCATCGTTGTAAATTTTCTGTGAGTTTTTCTGAAGAAGCTCGGTTGAGTGGTGAGTGCTGGTGATTTGTATAAAGCCACCATTGTGTAATATCTTCTTATATGGTAGACTGGTACACTGACTGGGGATTAATTCTCTGCCTTGGTTGTAGTATTTTGATCCCAAAACAAGAAACTCGTGTTCATAGTCTTGTTTCTCTCCTTGGTTTATATTTTATCATTTATGCGTCTTCTTTTTGCGTATGCAAGTCTGTTGGTCATTATTGAAGAGAGGAAAATTTTTAAGTAATTGGTATGAGAGCACGGTGTCACGGACCTAGTTTCGTTACACCCGAACAAACTAGAACCGTGCGGCCTTAACGTTCTACAATTTTCGCATTTCACGAGAAAACGTTAAGTCAGTCTTTCCACTCCCACAAATAATCTAACCAATGAGGTTAAATTATACCCATGTTGAGAAGAGAATTTTGAAGTAAGTAATATATGGAAAACAAGTAAAGATGGGGAAACTTTCTTTGTATAAATGAAAGGAAAAAACTTTACAATCTTTCTTGAAAGAATAAACTCACTTCACTCTACATTCTCTACCATCTACTACATACACTACATACCATTTACAAATGAGACTCCATCTCTATTTATAGGAAAACTTAAACCTCCTTAACATTCCACTTTACACCTCGTACTTAGTTGTCGCCACCTTGTGCTTAGTTGTCGTCAACTCATTCTTTGTTGTCGTCAACTCATTCTTAGTTGTCTTCAAGAGGATTGTCTTACAACTTGCCTTGCAAGTTGTCGCCAACTCATGCTTAGTTTGCATACAACTCGCGCTTAGCTTGCATCGTTGATATTTATCCTTGTCAACTCGTGCTTAGCTTGCATATAACTCGCGCTTAACTTGCAAGTGGACAAGTTGTGCAAGTTACCCACTTGCATCCTCAAAATATCTGGCCGCAGATTCAAATATTTTTCCTCCCAAAATGGCTGGATCGGGACTTAGAAAAACCTCATTAACGCCTTGGAAAATTGCACGATCTAGGCAGTCTGCATTCTGCCCCAAAATCATCTATGCATCCCCAACCCGAGTCTACCTGCGACCTTTGCCGAATTTGCCTGCGTCCCCTATCGCAAGCTGTTCCGTCCTTCTGAAACGCATTACCCACATTGTCTTGCGATCCCTACCGGACGGATCGAACGCGACCGCGTAGCGTAAGTTACTCCCCCACTGAATTTGGCGACACCCTCATCGCCATATATCGCCGAAGCATAGACCTTATTTCCCATAAATCTATCTCATTTTCCCACCTTGTGCCATGACATTCCCGTGTTATGCCAAGTTTCAAGTCATGACCTTGCGATCCGTGACATTCTCCCCCACTCAATCCGCTACCGTCCTCGTAGCGAAACGTGTTCGGTGCATCCTCATGCAACCTTGCATTGTCTTTCACGTCCCTGGGCATTAAAGTTCTCCCAACTTGCGGCACCATCTCCTCGATGACCAGGTTTCCACAGTGCCCCTTGCACCTCGTCCCGTTGCAACCTCTTGCATGCCACCTTCGACACCAACCTTCACCCTCAGCACCTCTGCCTTGGTTCCTCGGATGGACAACTCCTCTGGTTGTAGTGTCCCCACACTTGTCAAAGCTTTGAACCTTCGTGCACCCAATTTCGGACTTCTTTAACAATGTTTCCACACTTTCCTTCTTTTTCGGTAGTTCCCTCGGCAACTCCGCGAGCATAATGTCCTTATCATCTTCAAGGACTTCCGCAAACTGCATCCCTAACAGTTGTTGTATTTCCATCCCCACAGAAACTGTTTCGACACTCATAGCATTAAACAACTGGAATGAATTCATTCGAACTTCATCCTCATCTTGGCTATCTATGGCCTCCGATTTGCTCTTCAAAATGGAAATAGATGCCAATGATTCCAACTCAGGACAATCCCTCATGAGATGTGGTCCTTTGAAAATAAAGCAACCTCGAGGTGTTAAATTACTCCTCTTCTTCTCATCATACTGCTTACTCCAAGTAGTTGGTTTGTTGCCAACGGGTTTGTAATCAACTTTGGGATTTGGCCTCCAATCCGACTTATTCCATTGCATAGCTCTCCCTGTATCTTCCCTGTTATCCCCAAAATTTCCTTTGGTGGGTTTGATAGTTTGAGCTTCGGTCTCAAAACTTTCTTCAAACTCCGTCAAGGATTCGGCTACTGCAATTGCCTCGTCTGTGGTTTTAACATCACGACGTTGCAACTCTTGTCGCACCCATGTTGCACAACCGTCTAGAAAATAGAATAGCATATCATCCTCCGGCATGGTTGGGATTTGAAGCATAAGGGTCATGAACTCTTTGACATAGTCACGAATTGTTCCCATATGTTTCAATTCCCTCAAATTCTTGCGCCCCTCATAGACGACATTCTCCGGGTAGAATTGCCTCTTTATTTCCCTTTTGAACTCATCCCAAGTATCAACCCTACAAGCCCCCTTTGCAATTTCCCCATGCTTACGACGCCACCACAATGCCGCAATATTCGAGAGATACATAGAAGCGGTCCGGACTTTCATGGCTTCATCAACAAGATTTACACCTTCAAAGTAGACTTCCATTTGCCATAGGAAGTTTTCCACATCTTTGGCATCCCGTCGCCCATCATAATGTTTAGGCTTCGGGTATTCAATTCTCGGGGCAACAATAGTTGAAGCGGCACCTCCGCTTGTATCGGCAGTAAGTAATATATGGAAAACAAGTAAAGATGGGGAAACTTTCTTTGTATAAATGAAAGGAAAAACTTTACAATCTCTCTTGAAAGAATAAACTCACTTCACTCTACATTCTCTACAATCTACTACGTACACTACATACCATTTACAAATGAGACTACATCTCTATTTATAGAAAAACTTAAACCTCTTTAACATTCCACTTTACAACTCGTGCTTAGTTGTCGCCACCTCGTGCTTAGTTGTCGCCAACTCATGCTTAGTTGTCGTCAAGTGGATGGTCTTACAACTTGTCTTGCAAGTTGTCGCCAACTCGTGCTTAGCTTGCACCTTTCATAATATCTTTGTCATCTCGTGCTTAGCTTGCATACAACTCACGCTTAGCTTGCAAGTGGTGCAAGTGGGCAAGTTGTACAAATGGACAAGTTGTGCAAGTTGCCCACTTGCATCCTCAAAATATCCGGCTGCAGGTTCATGTATTTTTCCTCTCAAAATGGCTGAGTCGGGACTTAGAAAAACCTCATTAACGCCCTGAAAAATCGCACGATTTAGGCAGCCTGCATTCTGCCCCAAAATAATCTACTTGCGTCCCCAGCCTGAATCTGTCTGCATCCATTATCGCAAGCTGTTCCGTCCTTCTGAAACGAGTTACCCGCGCTATCTTGCGACCGCTACCGGGACGGATCGGTCGCGATCGTGTGGCGTAAGTTACTCCTCCACTGAATTTTGCGACGCACTCATCGCCTTGTACCGTCGAAGCTTAGACCTTAATTGACATAAGTCTATCTCATTTTCTCACTTGGTGCCATGACATTCCCGTGTCATGCAAAGCCTTAAGTCATGACCTTGCGATCTGTGACAAGCAGCTGTCTTCATAGTGTAGAGTAGGATTCATTTAATCCTGTAAGAAACTTCATAAGTGCATCTGCTTGTTGGGTGTCTATTATGGTCTTCATTATATCACAAGTGCATCTGTATAGTGTCCCACAGCTACACTTTGGCAAAGGTTTCCAAATTGATTTGAATGAATTGTAATACATGGTGAGACTTTGTGATCCCTGTGAAATAGAACCGAGGCATTTTTTTAAATCGTACACTCTAGGTCTATCGCCTCTACTATATCTGGTTTTTAACTCATTCCAAGCTTCATATGCGGATGAGATATATAACAAGCTCTGCCGAATTTCTTTGTTGATTGAATTTAACAGCCATGAGAGAACCAAATTGTTTGCTCGAAGTCAGCAATTATACATAGTACCTAATGGTGGATTTGGGGATTTCCAAGTTCTATCAATGAATCCAAATTTACTTTCCACACCCAATGCCATAGATATTGCACAGCTCCAAGATGTGTAATTGTCTCCATTGAAAATCTCTGAGACAATTAGTGCACTAGGATTATCACTTAGGTGCAAGTAGTAGTCATTGGTTGGATCATCAGCCAGGTTGAGAAGAGAATTGACTGAGCTCGACATGCTCTGAGTAAAGTGTTGATGATTGATGGAAATTTTTTGTTAAAGCTATGATACCATGTCAAATTCATCAACCAAACATACTGAAACCTGAAATTATAAGTTCAGGGAGTGGAAAATGATGAACTCAGGAAGAAGATGGAGCTTTCGATTATTCAAGCTTAAAGAATTTGTGAATTACATCCAAGTATTTATAGGCAATCAGCCCAACTAACTAAATGACTAATTATCTAACCAACTGAATTAACCATCTAACAAACTAATGGTTTAATAGAAATTGAAACTTGAGCTGGAGCTGAGCTGTCACTTGGTTTTTGTTGGTTCAATTTTACTGTGTCGTAAGAGTGTTGGTGCTATTAAGATGAAAATGAGGGATGGCACAACAAGGATCTTAAGTGGAATAAGACACATACCAGGTCTGAAAAGAAACATTATCTCTATAGGAGCACTGGATAAGTCTGGTTGTGTGTACAAGGCTCAAGGTGGAGTTCTAAAGGTTATGAAAGGATCTATGGTGGTTGTGAAGGGACTGTTACAACAAGGTCTCTATGTTTTGCAGGGGAATGCAATCACTGGTGAAGCTACCATTTCTGAAAACAAAGCGGACAAGACTGTGTTGTGGCATAGAAGGCTTAGACAAATGAGTGTCAAACGGTTATTAGAGTTGGGAAAAGCACATATATTTAAATTTGCATATGCCATT